AGCTTCAAGAGTCAAGCGGTGAAGGAACCTCAAACACTAGTGATCAACCTGAGGAGGAAACTCTTGTTAAGTCGATTGATGAGTGTGTACCTCTGAGGCGTTCCACAAGAGTTAGGAATACATTTGAGTTTTATGGTTCCATATTACTACAGAAGGTGATTCATTTATCAGTGATAACACACTGGTAAATTTGGATGAGCCTAATAGCTACAAGGAAGCCATGGTAGGCCCGGAGTCTGCAAAGTGGAAAGAGGCTATGGATAGTGAGATTTAGCCCATGTATGACAATCAAGTTTGAAACATGGTTGACAACATACCATGTCGTAAGACAGTCAGGTGCAAATAGATCTTCAAGAAGAAGACTGACATGGATGGGAAAGTACACACTTATAAGCACGACTGGTTGTGAATGGCTTTACTCAAACTCTCGGAGTTGACTATAATGACACCTTCTCACCAGTAGCAAAGATTAAGTCTATTAGGATTCTGCTAGCCATAGTTGCATTTCATGATTATGAAATATGGCAAATGGATGTCAAAACCGCTTTCCTTAATGGAAAGTTGGCTGAGGATGTTTACATGAGTCAGCCAGAGGGTTTTGTCAATGTAGAGTACCCTAATAGAGTGTGTAAGGTTGAGAAATCCATTTATGGATTGAAACAAGCATCTCGTAGATGGAATCTTTTTTTCGAAGAGAAAGTCAAAGAGTTGTGTTTTTCGAGAAGTAATGATGAGTTATGTGTATATGTCAGTGCTAATGGGGGTATACTTAGCTTTTTGGTACTATATGTGGATGAGATACTACTCATAGGAAATGACATCCCAACCTTGTAGGGGGTGAAATCCTGGCTTGGGAAGTGTTTCGCTATGAACGACCTTGGAGAAGCTGCCTATATAAGGCTTAAAAGCATTCAATATATCAGGTTCTGTGAGAGCCAAATGATCCCGCAAATCCAAAATAGCTGCGTAAAATTTCTTAAACACTGAGATTGTTCTGTTGAAGGCTCAAATATCAAACTCTAATTGATACTGCTTTGCAAAGTTAGACTGAGTATACAGCCTAGCCAAATTATCCCGAACCTCCTTTGTTGTGTCATACTTTGTCAACTAAGTACCAATAGACTGGATAACAAAATTATTAATCTAAGTAATTATCTTGAATTTATCAGTCTCCCATGAATCTAGTAAGGTTGCATAATTAGCAGCCTTCTCGTCTATTGGTTTGTTTTTGTCAATTGTAACAATCTCCCACATAGTCTTGCGCCATAAGAAATTTTTCATAACATAACTCTAATAGGCATAGTTCTTTCCATCAAGTTTGATACTAATAGACTGAAGATAATCATCTCCCAGGGCCATATTTTCAATATCGGTCAAACGGGAATAACCAAACAAACAGTAAATAAGAGTAGCATCAACAACAATCAGGATCTTAAAATTAACAAAACCAACAGACGAATCGAAACCCTCGAAATCGACGAAACGAACAAATCAAATCAAATGGAATACAAAAACGAACAAGAAAACGATCACCCCGGATTTCGATCCGCGCAACGTCGTTCCTGCTACAACTCACCCCCAAAAATGAAAATATAGATAATCAAACCGAACTTTGATACCATGTAAAGACATAGAACGACTAAGGTTTAATATTATTATTAAATGAGAAAGTACAAGATACAATGAAAGGAAAAAACAGAATATAGACTAGATAATTAAGGATTTTTAGCTAATGGACTAACATAAAATCCAATACAAAATAAAGTTCAAAATCTTTTTAGGCTAATAATATGCTAGACGCTGAAATTCTGATTTATACATGATAAATAAAAAACGTTTAATCCGGAAAATCCAATGAATATCGAAGTAAGCCGATTACATCGGTGATTACATCGGTTCAACTCTTTTTGGTGGCAAACCCATTTTGCGGATAATGGTTTTCAAGTTTACATTAAAACCGTTCCTTTCAAAAAGTCTAGATCGGTAAAAATCGATTTTACGGACCTCTACATAAAACCTATTTACTTTTTAGTTAATTTTGTTTGTTTGACATGTTTGAGATAGAATATAAGTTAAATTAATTGTTTCATAGTAAATGGATCGAAACTAAGACGTATAATAATTTGTCTTTCTGATTTTTCTCCATATGACATTTTACTGCAGACTTATTACACGACAAAGAGAGGAAAGCGTTGCATGAGATATAACAAGAAGCTTAAAAATGTTGCAAAAATACATCCACAAATTGATTACTTAAAAAAACAAATCAATCTTCTTTTAGGCTAGCCATTCCCCGTCATCCATTCCGTCAATTTCACCAATGTCCATGCTGCATACATAAATAACCAAAAAACCTTTTTATACCCTAATCAAGTAAACAATAAAAATGAGATCTTGTTAGATCAATAGAACAGTAAGTACAATGGTTAGAAATATAGTCACTTACTTCATAGCTAGTTTAAATAATATGAACCCAATCAGATTTTCATAAAATTGCCTATTCTACTGTGCAAATATTAGAAGGTTGAATCCTTATTTATTAAAATGATATTTCATATTTTTCCTAATCTATACAACAAAATAGATGTTCAAACTAAATATGCAACCACGTTTTATTGTAGTACTAAAAAAATATAACATTGTAATAATTATGTGGTTCTAACAATGTTTCATTTTTTTTCTATCAACCCATGCACCGAGTTTCCATTTTTACCAATTCATGCAACAACGTTTCAACTTTTTACCGATTAATGTGATCATGTTTAAAGTTTATTGAGCAATGCTTCCTTGTGTTATCAGTTTATACAAGTGGTTTCATCTTTTTACCAATTTATGTAAAAATGTTTAACATTTTTATCATTAATTTATGTAAAAAAACCAACTAATTTTACTAATTTGTGCAACAAAGTTTAATTTTTTTTTTTTTTTACTAATTTATGCAAAATGTTCAATTTTTTTTCCAATTATACAACATTTCACATTTTTACCAAGTATGCATAATTAAATATTATTCAAGATTACAAAGTAAAATTTGAACATTTCACCTTTTTACCAATGTACGCAAATCTCAATCGGTAGAAAATCTCAATTTCACCTTTTTACCGATTAGATCTCAATTTAGAAGTAAAGTGTTGCATATTTTGATACTAAAACTGAAACATGGTAAAAAAAATAAGATTCTTGCACTACTTGAGATCGACTCGTTAAAAATTTGATTCGATATCAATTTTAAACGAGCTTGAGCCGAGCCGAGTCTAAGCTTAATATCTGGCTTGTTTATTAAACGAGTTCGAGCTCGAGCCTGTGTTGCATAGTTTAGTTAAGGTTACGAGCTAAACGAACTTATATGTATAGAAAAAAAAATATTTTTATATTTATATATTAAAATAAGTAAGTATATAAAAATACCATTTTATGAAATTAGAGTATACCGTTACGAGCCGAGCCCGAGCCTATATAACTCTTAACGAGCTGATCTCGAGCTTCGTACCATAAGACTCAAAATGAGATGAACTCGAACTCAAGCCCCAAAAAGTTTAAACGAGCCAAGTCTGATCCTCAGGCTTGGCTCACTGAGGTAGGGAGGGATAGGGTAGGGTAGGGTAGGGTAAGGTAAGGTACGATAGGGATGGGTTAGACACCGTAAGTTTTAACATTTGGCGTATGCAACAAGAAGATTGCAAAAGAAATTATAGTGAAGGTGCAAATTAAATAAAAAGTCATGGAAGATTTTACAGAATTTGAAAATGAGATTTATAAAAGTGACTGAGAAGGCAGACTGGTAAGAAACATGGTGGTGGGGACCTTTTGTGGCCTCCACTGCCATAATTTTAAAGTCTCACCCTGCCACTATTCAGAGATGACTGCAGATGCCCCTTATTACTACTTAATATGACCAAGAACCCAACAAAATGAACATTAAAAACAATGTAATAAATAACTAATTTAAATAAAAAAATAATTCCTAGGAACAGAAAACATCTCCAGCTTCATAAAGATTGAATCTTTATATAATCTTTCAGAAAAAATAATAATAATAAAGAATTAGAATCTTACCAAGATAAAGCAGGATCTTGCAAGTAATCATCAGAAAAATGATCATGGAAGTGTTGCTCATTTGTATTTATCAACCAAGGTGGGAATTCGATAATTTGATCAAACGGATTAAACCCATGAAAATCATCTTTTTGGGTATCGACTTTTGTTTCCTCTTGTCCAATTTCCATGGTTTTCAAGAACTTGAACCACCGTGCTGACATCATCAAATTCACAGTATCATTCCATTCCATTTGGTGTTGCTCTCCTAACGACTTAATCTCCTCAAGCTCCTCATCATCCATGGCATGATGTAGGCCGCCAGCTACCACCTCCTCCGGCATGCCAGCTGCCGTTTCACCGGCGGAAATGGCGGCAGATGAGGAAGTAAATGAAGATGAAGATGAAGAAGATGAAGATGATGACGATGATGATAATGATGATAATGACGATGAAGAGGGATATATTGATAATGGGTGCTGGTAAAGATTTGCGTCTAAGTTTTTAAAATCTTGAAAATTGAGATTTAATCCTAAAGTTTGATTAGGAAGTGGGAAATTTAGATTTTCTTGATATAGTGGCGGCAGAGGGGGTGGAGCAATTGTAGGTATAGCCCAGTAATGAGGAACGGAGGTGGCGGCGGCAGTGGCTGTGGCGGTGGCGGTGGTGGTGGCGGTGGCGGTGACGCTGGCGGCTTCTTGTTGTTTCATGGAAGCTCTATGAAACTTAAGGGCGGTGACAATTTCTCTCCTGGCTTCCGCCATATTTAGAAGGCGTTCTTGATAAGGTCTAGTGGTGTGTTGCCTCCTCCTAACTTGTTTCTTGATTTGTGGTGGTGGAGGTGGTGGTTGTGGTGGTGGCGATTCTTGTTTCATATTGATATGATCACCGAAGGAATCGCCATTCGTATTTACGATTCCGCCATCGAAGGGATCTTTGGGCCTTGTAGAGGTCAAGTGTTTGACTAGACTACGTATGTAAGCACCAGAGAGATGAGGCTCCTCTTTAACCTTATCAACTTTGTCTTTTTCCATTGATACCCCTACTCTGTTAATCCTCCCTTGCTTTGAAGATGATCTACTCTTCATTCTTTTCCTCCCCCCTTCTATACCCTTTTGGTCCTTACAGAAGAGATTGAGAAAATTTTGGTTTCCTTTTGTGTAAGCAAAAGTAATACTTACACTTACAGAGGTCACCAGGTCTCTTGAATGTTATAAATAGCTGCCCATCAGTCTATTTTTTCATTTTTCTTTTTTCTTTTTTATTTTTTAATTCGGCAAATTTTTGAGAAAAGCATGTGAGGGTTAAAGCATCAGCACTCTGAAACACTCAGTGTGAAAGTTTCAATTTCAATATGAAAAATAGATTGAAGTTACGAACAGTCGCAGTGTGAAAGCATGAAAGTTTCAATTTCAATATGGAAAATAGATTGGACTTATTGTAGATCATGATTGTATTGAGTTGTGAGTTGAGTGAATTTGATTTACATGTCACAATGTTTTTTTGAACATTATGGGCTATGGTTGCTAAAATAATAGTCTTGTGTAGAAACTAGTAAGGTCACCCTTTCCATTTTTTATTTTTTGAAAAAACAACACTAAATATTTTGGAATTTTTCCTATTTTGGCAAACAACTAGGTTCTTACGTTTTTGTCTTTTAAAATAAAATAAAATATGCCCTTCCTTTCAAATAGTATTTACATTACTACCATGAAGGTGCAACAAGAGCTTTCACTCTTTCATCATTCAACACATGTACAAAGTTAAATCCTATCTCTTCCAAACAAAGAAAAAACTAGAAGAAAAATAGTAAACCCAAGAATTTGAATAAAACTTTGGTCAAACAATTGTATAAATAAAGACTAGAATTCTAATAAAAGTTTAGTCAAAATATTTTCATCTTTTTATTAATGTCTGACTTTGTTGAATTATAAGGGTGGATATAGATTTTAATCGTCATCACTAATATTTAAATATGCACAACTACACAAGCCCTCATGGTATACGATTCGTTAGAATTTGTGTTCTCTCATCCATGCTAAAAAAAGAACGAACAATAAAAAACAGTTTGCCTAAAATAGTAAATAGGCTGAAAAGATACGTCATATAAAGGCAAAAAAAGCAACTGGCATGACAGTTTTGTGTACTTGTTATGATGGTAATATTTGCTTCCGTAACATTATCAGTTTCCATTTCAAGACTTAATATTAAATAAAAATTAATGAGTTAAATTTGAAATTCAATCTTGAAGTTTTATAATCAAATATTGCATAGAAAAAGAATGCAACTGAAACTAATTGGAATCTTGATTCTTGCAGTAAACTTTCTTTTTTTATACATATAATGTGAGAGTGTTTGGGTATGTGTTTTTAATGTGTTCAAGTATGATATGCATGTATGTATAAACTTTCTTTCTCTACACATAGAGAGATTTGAAAATTAACAAAACGGTTAAATTTGCATTTATGAAGCATTGTTTCGTCCTTTTCGCAATTTATGCAAAACAATGTTTTTAATATAAAATATTCGTAATTTATGCAACAAAAGTGCTTTTTTTACATACAATATGAAAGGTAACAACACAAATAGCCGGGGTACAAGAGCATTAGCATCGACATTCAACAATGTCAACGCTAATGCCCTAGTCGCAGTTAAGAAAACCGAGATTTCCCCTCTCTCCCATATTTTACATATCGCCGCTAATGCTACCACTTGTTGCTGCTAATAATGTAACCAATATAATAATCCAAGCTCTACATCATATATGCAACCCATCGGTCAATCGTATGTTCTCATTCACCGATAATCCAACCTTGAGTTCCATGAACCACCACATTCGACATCTCTCTCTCTCTCTCTCTCTCTCTCTCTCTCTCTCTCTCTCTCTCTCTCTCTCTCTCTCTCTCATATTGCCTTAAAATCACCTTATTCTTACACCATCACACCATCTTGTTATGTTTTACACCATTAACCGCACCACCTTTATGTTGGGTTTTGAGCATTCTAACACTCCTAAGTGTACATGCAACCCTAAATACCTTAGATATATGTTTTCTCTATTATACATACAAATATGAACTTTCCAAGGTATTCATCCTAACTAGCATAATAACATGATTCATATGAATATATCAAGTTAGAATTACATACCTCTTTGATGTAGAAAGTCTTCATGAAGCTTGAGTGCCTAGTGCCCCAAGTGTGACACCTCAAATGGTTCACACAACACCAAATACACTTGGAATAACTTGAGAGAAACTTGAACACTCCTTGAAATCGTTTAGCCCTCACACTCACACATAGTGCATGATTTCTTGAGCCATGGGATTCTTTTATATGATGGCTATTAGGGTTACACCATGTAACTCATGACTTTACCCATTCCTTATGCTCCATGGATTTTAACCTCCATGGAGTATCCATGGGTCACCCCATGGACATAGTCCAACATAAGGAATCTTGGATCACTAGCCCACATATATATAAGAATGAATGATTTACACAATCAACCCATATATTTAATTAGTCTTCTTTTGATCACTTAATTAATTCCAAATTAATTCTTGATCAATACTAATTAAATAACCTTATTAATATATTAGAACTTATAATATATTAACAAACCTTAAGTGTTATTTCTCTCATTTTAGTCTATCCAAATGCATGATGTCATGCAACCCAAATGGACCATGTCGGGTCGGGTCAATTCTTACCAATTATAGTTATGGACTTAGACATTAATCCAACAGTCTCCCACTTGGATAAGTCTAAAACTATTATTGCGTATGACTTCAAGAACTGACTAGCAATCGTAGCTCTCAAAAGCTTCTGTCGAACTCTGACCTTGTAGATAAACTCTGACCTTGTCAATGACTTGTCCATTAGATAAGGGATCATATATTCCTCCATTCTAGATATCATATGGACTGAGACATGGATTATAATCATTCTCTCAGTGCATTTGTTGTTTCCCGATTTCCGATTTATAACGACTGACTAATTGAACAAATCAAATCAGTCCTGGCCTGGCCGAGCACTTCCGTTTGTCATCATCAAATCATCGAGGGGCCCACAAATATCGCTTTTATCCCGAAGGTAAAAGGAATGGATAAACTTCGACTTATATGGCTTGTTCTACTCCTTGTTGAATCATACACAAAGGCACGTTTTATAACACCGAGTTACTGAATGCGTTTTCGTGCAATCAATGTACAACCAACTCATAGTAACAACTCATATCTCTAGGTTTGAAGAATATAAGATATTATCGTCTCATGATCACTCGTGATAAAATCCATGAAGTGATTCCAATGAGCGCGTGTTGAATCCAATACTCAGAACTTATGAGCACTCATGAGTGTTGTAGCCCTTTGTCCAACATCTTAGACCTCTACAAGCCAACCCATGACAGTCTTAATTCATATCTACTTCCAACATATGACCGACTGTGGATGGTTTGAATAACTTAGTTATCCAGAACAATGACCTAGTTATTCTGGAAGTTAAAACATGCAAAAATGAAACACAATAATAATTGAATCCAATATGGTATCAAAACCTATGAACATAAATAAAACACCTTTTATTTATCACTATATGATTACACATTATTAATTGTATATTGTTTTAGCTATCAACTTTATTCTTGAATTAAAACACTAGTTGTCCCATGCTTTGAGCATGTACACTATGTTTTCTAAACACTAGTCATGCCACACACCAAATATGTATACTATGTTTATCTATGATCTTTACTTTTTGAATTAGATCAATTGAACATAACTCCAATGATCCTCTTTTCATAGTCCCAAAACCTTACTGCAAATGCAAGAATTCCAAATTCATGCCATTTACTGAAATATGTTAGATTCTAAACTTATATGCATAGATCCTCTTGTAATGATTATGCATAAAGTCGCAAAGACTTGACAATAAACATTACAGAGCATTCCAAAGGAGATCAACTCCTTGGAAACATCCTTCTTGCATTAAGTTTCCTAATCTTACACAGATTGAATAATTTCTAACTTTGAAACATTTCCATATTCCATTTTGACTATCACTTCTAAACAAGAGTTGCCTCCTTACAGATTATGTCAATATGGTCCTTCCAGAATTATCATTATACTTCCAACTGTCCTTGAGCAACCAATCTTTGGTAAACCTTAGATTGTCCTCGATAATTGTTTAATCCTTTTAGTCATATACAATTCTAGACCTTTTCCCTTCTTAATGCCCTAGGCATTTGAAAATTTTTAGAACGGATGAATATAGCACATGTAATCGATCCTATATCCGAAGCATATGGGACACGATTCATGATGTCTCACATAAAGACTAAACCAATCTTTTGCTATAATATTTCCATTTCAATTTGCCAAGTTCTCATAATTCAGATTATGAAAAGGGATGCCGTAATCATAATCAAATTTGAGAACGCAAAGGTCTAAACAATTGAGACTATGATTACGGTATCCCTTTTCATAGTTCTAAAATTGTTTTGACACACATGTGAGCTATCTAAGAGAGGTGTATGATTTTGATAAAGTTTTATCAAAACAATCTAGTATCAGAAATCTAAATTTCGGTAAGAAAGTCAATAAAGTATTGATTTCTAGAAGTCCAACTGATTTTTGAGTACATGTCAAAGCTAGTGGGAGCATAAGTCCATAACTATAATTGGTAAGACTTGACCCGACCTGGCATGGTCCATTTGGGTTGCATGGCATCATGCATTTGGATAGACTAAAATGAGAGAAATAACACTTATGGTTTGTTAATATATTATAAGTTCTAATATATTAATATGGTTATTTAATTAGTATTGATCAATAATTAATTTGGAATTAATTAAGTGATCAAAAGAAGACTAATTAAATATATGAGTTAATTGTGTAAATCATTCATTCTTATATATTTGGGCTTATGATCCAAGATTCCTAATGTTGGACTAAGTCCATGGGGTGACCCATGGATACTCCATGGAGGTTAAAATCCATGGAGCATAAGGAATGGGTAAAGTCATGAGTTACATGGTGTAACCCTAATAGCCATCATATAAAAGAATCACATGGCTCAAGAAATCATG